TTTTTTTTTATCATTCCTTCTCTGCTATCTATCTGTTACTTTTTTTTTTTTTTAAATTCTGGGTTATCTTCACTTGAACATGGCTATTTTTTAAAGAGCTATGTTATGTCGTGATTATCTGAAACATTCTTTCTGACTGGGCTTCATTAAAGTCAAATGTAATATTTATCTACATTTTTTACAGTCAAGACAGAAGGCCCTCGCACAGCTGCACAGTATCCAAACTGAGAAGGTATGCCATCCAATTTTTGTATTCTTTTATCATTTTGATTTCATTGCAGATAATTAAATATTAATTTCATTAAATTTATATGGAGATGAACTGTTTCATTAGTTTGAATGTACCATCTTAATCAGAGCAGTCTAGTTGTAATATCTTACCATTGAACATGTAAACCAAGACCTTGCACTGTAGATACCCTTGAACAATTTTGTATTTAGAGATAGTAATGAAATAATTTAAATCCATGGAGTAGAAACATGCTGTGCCTATTAACTGCAATACCTAGGTATTATGACAATTTTTAATGGAAGAAGAAGATCAATTACTCCTATAAATTCAAGTTGCATCTTTGGTTAATAACCTCCACCCGTGGACCAAATTTAAGACTGAGCAAAAAAAAATGGTTTGGTTGTTAGGTTGCCTTCTATTATTCTTTACTTCCTCTCCTTTACTATACATGATATAGGCTTTGTTGTCAAAACATATTTTTTGTATGTGCGGCACTTAATGTTGATCATTTTAGGCCTATGCTTAGGTTGCCTTATCTATTATGTCCACTTTTTCATTTTTTGCTTCAATATGTGAAAATGACGGCTTGCTAGACAATGGCATAACCAGTGCATGCAGCTTAGTAGACAATGCAGGAAATCTAGATGCCTCATTTAATTCATCTACGTGCTTCCGCACCTCCTTAAAATTCAGAAGGGGATAGCTGCACTTTCCGCTTGCTTCATTTCTTACTTGGCCCACCAATCACTTTTGAAACCCCTTAAATAGTTTATCAACTAAATCGAAATTTGGATTATTAGAACAACATTCTATTTAAATTTGTGATTGGTGTTATCTTAAATGTCTTTGAATGATTTTTTTTTTTGGATTTGAAGAATTCTATGTTGCCTATGTAAGAGAGGGTGCGAGGAGCGTGTAATGCGGCATGATGAATTATTTAGAAGTAATAAGAACCTTGACATTACAACAAGTTACCTCTAAGCTTTTTAAGTTTACCACAGTGATGAAAAAGGACATTAATATCTAAATTCGGTATTAAAGTATACATATTTTTCAAATTTTGTTGATGATCAAGGGCAATGAAAAATGACTATAACAGTTTTTAAAATTATCTTTCTAATATCTTCTTTCTCCTTTTTGGCCTCCAATTACTATAGTAATCTCGTTAGTGTGGAGTGCAGTTGCTAGTAAGTGCAAGCTCTTTGGCATCCCTAGCAGGATCTGTTGACTGATTCCCTTACAACTTTGTTGAATTATGTGATTCCTATCTAAAATTCATCTGGAAGTATCCAAGTGCAATCAATACCTAATGGAATTACATTCCTGAAAGTGAGCTCATGCACTCTACGAGATCCTGATCATTGGATTAAGATACTGATAGGGACATCAATTACTTAAGTGGGTGAGATTGTGAAACCCCTTAAGTAAAAAAGAAGCTAAACTCTTAAACATCAAACATCAAGGCGCCTTTTGGTATAATGGTTGTAATTTCATTAAGAAACTCTGCAGTCAAGCGTGCTCATCCCGAAGAAATCCTGGGAGGTTGGGATGAGTAGCCTCTTGTGAAGTTACATTAACAGGACAAAATATTGAGACCCTTAGGCTAAAACGGATAGTATCTCGATAGTTAAGAGTTTGGTCTATTACAGGATCTCCTTCGTCCCCATTATTTCCTTCATAATTTCTCATTCCCCATGGGGTGGTTCCCCCCAAGTGTCTCAATCATCCATTCTACGCTCATACCCAAACTCATCATCATAATCAACTCATCTACTTTCAAATTAAGCACCCCTTTGATCATAATTAGCCCATCTCATTTCAAATTCAACCACTCTCCTTTCAAATTTAACATCCCTCCAATCATAATCCACCCATCTCTCTTCAAATTCAGCATCTCTTCACTCATGCCAAACCCCCTCATGCCTTTCCCCGTACCTTTTACCGGTCTCCTCACTAGGAATAGGCTCTAGAGGAGGTCTTCTTTCTCACTTCCTCTAAGATCTCCACCTTTTGTTCTTCCATTCTCTTTATCGGATTAGGGTTTTCCCCACTCCTTTGGATGTCGGTGACTTCCCTCACCTCCAATGATGACATTTTGGTTTGGCCCTCGAGTAAAATTTTCATCATCTCCTCTATGATGACAAATTTTTCATCGATCTTTTCGTGGACAGCTGAAATTTGAGTTTGAAGATTTAAAATTTCAGATTTCTATTATCTGATCTCTCCTTCCAACACTTCTTATCTTTTTTCGTGCCATAGATACTCGGATCTAGGCTCCAAACGGCAAAAAATAGCAATTTGATGCAAATTTGGCCTTTAAACAACAAAAATCAGTAATGATGGAGAGAAAAATGCTGCATCAATCAGCGAGGAAGACTTATATTTCAGCTCAAGAAATGTTTCTGATACAAATTTGATAGAAAGTGAATGTTGAAATAGAGAAAACTAGGAAGAAGAACACACAAGAATTTTTTATTGAAAGATATATGAAAGAAAAGCAAAGATACAATTGGATCTTCAATTCAAGAGGAATATTCGGCTCTTCCAAATCCCTAGCCGCTGGCTAGAGCCCTCTCAAAAAAAGACTACAACAAACATAAATCACCTTCCCTCAAAATGATAGCATAGTTAACCTTAAATAGGCTCCCCCTCATTTCCTTCCAAATCAATCCCCTTTTCTAAATAATTCCATTTTAGTTTTTGAATTCAAATTAGATCTCTTGCCCTAAATAATTCTCTCCCAATTATAATTATTAACTTTTCTAAACAATTCTCTCTTGATTCCTTCTCCCTTTCCCTAAATAATTCCCTCTTAGATTGTTGAATTCAAATTAGATATCTTATCCTAAATAACTCCCTCCCAATTGTAATTAAAATTTTCCTAAACAATTTCCCATTGATTAAGAATATTTCTAAACAGCTCTCTCTTGATTAGTAAACATCCTAATTTTCTCCTAGTCCATCACATGGCTAGGTTGAAGAAGGTAATTTTTAGACGGTAATAAAATTACATAGCATGATTCATTTAATTAAACAAAATTCTGAAAACTTGTCAAATTAATTATTGAAACTTTTGTAACATTTTATGCAAAACTCAAAAGGAAGGAAAGGAGAATGAGGTTCATCAAGCTAAGTCAAAAGTGTTGAGATAAAGCTAACGCTGATGTTGATTTTTGGAAGTAACATTTAATTCTTTTTTCAATACAAAGAAAGCATTATAAAACCTCTAATTTTTTTTTCTTTGTATTTATTGAAGCTTGAGAAGCTCAGCAAAATACAATGCCAGCCAGAGTCTCAACTCAAGTTTATAATTGAAGCTATGTTACAGGTGAAAATAACTGAATTTTTTTCCATCACTATATTTGGAGATATGCGCTTTTTTTAACAGACAAATTTTAAATGCTCATGTTTTAATTGATTTAGCATTGCAATATGCAGGTAGTTGAGTGTAGGAGAGTACTGAAATGGACCTATGCATATGGGTATTACCTACCTGAACATGAACACGCTAAGAGGCAATTTTTTGAGTATCTACAAGGTTCTTAATTGCTATCGACTTGTATTCAGTTTTGTCCTAGTTGATTCTCTTTTTCTAATGAAGGCGTGCTGTTTGTTTCATAGGTGAGGCTGAGGCAGGTTTAGAGCGACTTCATCAATGTGCAGAGAAGGAACTCCGGGTGTACCTTGAAGCTGAGGTTCCAATGAAGGAATTTGCTGACTTTCGCATAAAGCTGGCTGGATTGACTAGGTATCATCGGCAAAGATATAGCATGCAGAACTTAATTCTCATTTGCCATTAAGATTTTGTTTGGGATGACTTTCTACTGCTTCTTAAAGCAGCGGTAAGAAAATTGTCTCAAATAAAGCCTAAATATTTAGTAGGAAGCTATTTGCATAAGATTAGTCACCTGTATGATTCCTTTGTAGGCTTTGCGCTTGCCTAGGATCTCATTTATTTTTGTTTGATTAATACTTTGTTGGAGGATGTTGTTTTATTTAGCCTGCCTTTAATCCTCTAAGTGAATTCTGCTAGAAAATGTTCTCTGAATCCCTGCTTTCAAAATATTTTCTTTCGAGAACAGGGCCCCTCGCATTGGATTATAGAGTAGCTTTGCTGTTACATTGATCAGTCAGTTAAGACTGGTTCTCCTTTTCCTTTTTGGTTTTGTAGGTCTCGTATATTGGAGAACCAATATTTCTATACCCCAAATGCTCTTTTTTATGACTAGTATTCTATGCTAATTTATTTTCTTTTACTGTGACTTGTATGCTGCTTTAAAATGAAAAAAATTGAGAGCCTAAATATATGAAATGATATTTATTCAAAAAAGATTAGTCAAACTTGACATTCCTAGCTAATTTGCATGATAATGGCTAAACGATAATAATATAAGCATTGAAGTATGACTTTGATTCGTATACTTCATTAGCTTTCATATTTGATTCTTTTTTGGTTTGCGGAGCACAGTGTATTCTTCAACAAAATATTTCCAATGATCACCAAATAGGCCTTTTGGATTGCATAACAAATCTTTCTTTGCATATTTTTAGTATAGGATTAGTCTAAGGCTTCATTTGGGATGAATTTCTTATTGCTTCTTAAAACAACTTTTTAGTTAAATTTTTTTAATTTTTGTATTAGAAAGCTGCTTTAAGAAACAGTAATAAAGCCGTCCCAAATAAAGCTTAAATATATCAAGAATAACTCCATAAGCATTAAACCATCAAGCTTGCAAAATGCTTTTAGATTTTCATGCATTTTCTTCAACTTTACTTCATTTTGAAGGTGTGATTTTGAGTGACTAAAGAACCATTCAACTGTTATTCTTAAAATTACTGCAAAATTTCATCATTCAATATGATTTCTTAATATTTGATGCTAATTTTTAGCTATGGCCTGACTCTTTTCTATTGTGTGTTTCCATTTTTTTTTCCCAGCGTTACACGAAACTACTTTCAAAACCTGGTTCAAGCCCTAGAATCTGGATTGGAAGATGTAGGACCTAATCGGCAAACCAATAGCAGCAAGTCTTCATGCTCAAAGAACATTTCGAGCAAGAACAGTCCAGGGAATAGCCCCAGATCAAGTACAACTATCAATAACTTTGACAACTACTGGTATTGTGAAAGGTGCACATTTGCCAACCCCAGCTCAAATCATGCTTGCGAGATGTGTGAGCATCGTCGCCATTGAATCCTTGAAACGGTTCAACATTCTTTCTGGATAGAAGCCATGGAGTCACTTACAGATTTTGTTGCTCTATAGATATCTATCAGTCTCAAAACCCATTGCTGGGATGACAGCAATTAAGGCTTCGTTTGAGACTGCTTTTTTACTGTTTCTTAAAACAACTTTTTAGTTTAAAAATTAAAATTTTTATACTAAAAAGCTGTTTTAAGAAGCAATAAAAAGACCGTCCAAACGAAGCCTAAGTTATATTTGCTGCAGGTTTTGAGTTCCATATGGAGGGATGATGCAATGAAAGAAGCTTTTAATGATGAAGCTTTCATTCTAAAGTAGGTAGAGACAACTATAAGATATAACATCGTCTTGGACATGCGAACTGCAAATCAGATTTTGTATGTGCATATTAGGCTTCCTTTGGCACAGCTTTTTCGTGCTTCTAAAAACAGCTTTTCAATACAAAAATTTAAATTTATGTACTAGAAAGCTGCTTTAAGAAGCAATAAAAAAGCCGTCCCAAACAAAGTTTTAATCTTATGAGCTAATAGCATAAGCTGGATCTTTTAGGCCTGCGAAGGAATTCAGTGTTCTGTTTTTACATCTTGGGTTGCTTCTAACATTGTAAATTTGGAACTTGGGGTTTGTTTGATATTATTTTTTTACTGTTTTTAATAAAGTTGTTTTAGAAAGCAATAAAAAAATTGTCCCAAATGAAGTCTTAATAATTCTTGTGGGGATCAAAATAATCAGATTGTATTGTTGTTGAGCTGCCTTATCTTTCATTATCAGTAATATTATTTTTCTCAAGTTAATGCACATTTAAGTTTCATTTTGGATGGCTTTCTTATTGTTTCTTTAAACAATTTTCTTGTATAAAAATTTAATTTTTTTATTATAAAGTTGTCCCAAACGAAGCCTTAAAATTGGTGTTATATTTAGGTGGTTTAAGGCCTCGTTTGGGATGGCTTTTTTACTACTTTTTAAAACAATTTTTAATATAAAAATTTGCTTTAAAAATCAGTAAGAAAGCCGTGGCAAACGAAGCCTAACTGATAACCTACATAGCACTTTTTATTTCAATTAAGGGTGCCTTTGATATTACATCTTCGGAGGTTTATTATACATATTTGTATTATTTTTGTGTTTTTTTATTGCTGTTTTTTTAAGCTTTATAGTGATTAGAGCTGTCATTTCAGATTGATGGATTGAATTTGGGTTTTATTCTAACCTGTTTATTATAATGATCAAAATGTCTAACCTGAATCTAAACTGAATCAAAATCGCCTAATTTGAACTGTTTGACTCGTTTGTTATATAGATTGTGTACTTTATTTATATTAACATAACCTGTTTAGTTTGAAGATGATCAGTTTAACTCAGATTTGACTCATTTTACTCGAATTTGAATGATGTTTAGGTTAATTATGAGTTAATTTTTATTTTTATTTTGGGTCAATTTGATTTTGACCCAAAAATTGCTCAGGTTAAATTTTTTACTAATTACTCTGTCGGATTGGATCTTTTATTAACACCTCTAAGGATGATTGAGATAAAATAACTATTCTAAATTTTCTAAAGAAAAATATTTAATATTTATAATAACTTAAAAAAATATTTTCTTATAATAGTCTTACAATGAATTTGAAGGCCTTATTTATTAATGAGTAGAATGAGTGTATTATTATTGATTAAAAGTGAATAAAATGAGGAGATTTACATATTTTTTACATAATTATTATAACTTTATATATCTAGAGTTAAAATTTTATTATTTATGTATATAATATTATAATGTTTCAGTTATATATATATATATATATATATATATATAGAGCAATTAATCTTATGAATAAGAAAGAAATTATTATGATTTAAGTTATTATTATAATAAAAAATAAAAAAATAAAAATTATAAAAATAAAAAAAAAATTACTTAATATAAAAAATTGAGACATAAATTTTAAATATTTTTAATAATTTTGTATTTAAAATTTAAAATTTTAATATATTTTAAATATATTTTCTATTAATATTTTTTAAAGAGCCCGCTCATAAGGTTAAAGAGTAAAGTCGGACTAAAGCTTGACTTGTTAGCTCTAGTTCGACCCCAAAGTTCTATACCTAGCGGAGTTCAGCCGGCTTGCCGCTAGAGCCTCTTCGACTTCGCCATACGATCCCTAGGGTTTCACTTCATGATCACTGCCGGCCTTCGCACCAGCTTGACGGGGCCACGTTAACCGTAGCGATAGCCCTTCTTCTTGCGGTGGCCAGCTACGTCGTCGAGGCCTTAGCTCCCCTTGAGCGTCGCCGGACGCCGCCATCGCCGTCGCTGCCGCACTTTCGTCCTTCGCTATCGATCATCCTCTTCAACCTCGTATTGGTCGCTGCCGCTTTTCAGACATCCCTAACACTGGTTTTAATTTTTTTAATACCCTTCTTTATTTTTTGCAACTATTTTGATTGCGCCACCATTTTGATTTTGATTTTTTTTGTCAATTGGATATTTAGGTCTGATGAATGAACACAATGTTTAATGCAAAATTAATATAGAATAGTTTGGATTTTTTATTTTTTATTTGGTTTAAGAGTGATGCATTGTGTTTCCCATCTTTGGTTTACCTATTTAGTAGGGAATGAGAGGTATATTTATTTTGAGGTATTTACCTGTACATTCATGCTCCGTGTTTGATGCCAAGTAGAAAAAGAACGACAATATAATTTACATGATAGGAAATATATTTATTTTGATATATTATCCTTCCGAATTTACTTGGATACCTGCCACGGAAAAGGATGGAATGGACTCAATGGCTCATAGATTCAAAAACGTCTCTATGCTTTTATCCAAATAATTTTTTTCGGACCTCATTTGTTTATGCTTTTGTGCATGTATAAATAATATGTAGGCAAATGGCTGAGCAATTAAGATATAATGAATAATATGTAGGCAAATGTTCAGTACTCAAGTTTTGTGAGAATTTTCAAATGCGTTTTTTTAGCTTGGTTCTCTTTTGATGATTTCCTTGCTAGAGAACTACTGTTAAGTGGGCTTATGCAAGTTCTTTGTGAAGTAGAAATCAATGGCTGAGCGATTAAGATAGAATGAACAATGATCAATCAAATGGAATGAGTTTGGGATGATACAAATACGAGCCGAAATTAAAGTTATTTAATTTTTTATGTCATTTTTATTGTTGCAGTGTGTTGTATAACTTATTATATTAACTAAGGAGAGAAAGATGAAGATGTAATCTGAAAGGAAAGTCTAATGTTAAACATATCTTTTTAGGTTATATGACGGATTGATTATGATTGTATTGATATGATGTGAATAAAAAGAATGCATTTTTTCAAATTATGCAAATTATTCCATACATAAAATTTACTTGTAGTCACAGTCAATGTACGCATTGAGGAATAAGTTGCTATATTACTCTATATACATATAGTTGAGCATAGTATATTCATAATTGGGTCTTTTGATTCAACTTTCAACAATTTGGAGAAACAGTGAGTAGGTTCTTGAATGTTATGTTGTTTTCCATTGGGGAGTTACATAATGAGATACTTAAGCCTCCAGTGCTCTAGACTCTATATAAGATACAATCAAACAATATATTCATGCCTTTTTTAATTTATAATTATAACTTGTGGTTCAAAATAACAATGCCATATAACTATTCTTACTTATATAGTTTTTTATAAATAGGATTGTGTAAGCACTATAGATATATCACACATTAAAGTTAGTTTTCATATGGAGCAAGAATCTTTTTTTAAAGGAAGAAAATTACACTGAAGCTAGAATATGCTAGTAGAAATGAATTTCGATTTAAGATTCATATGTATCTTAGATAGTTGGTTAGGTTCAACACTAGATGCATCAATGCTCTAAAATAAATTAGAATGACTCAATGATTTGCATTTTCCAAAATCTACAAATTTTATTACTAAATGATGTTCTATAATTAGTTATGATATTTTAAAGAAAATACTACAACAACATCTTCAAGCCTTTATCCCATTATGTGGGTTGGCTATATGAATTCTTTTTATTCATTGTGACTTGTTAAGAGTCAAATTCTCATTTAAATCTAATAAAAAAAGATCATTTCTAATATTTTCTAACCATTTCTTTTTGGGTCGACCTCTATCTTTTTTAACATAGGCCAAATCTAATATATCTACTTCCTAACCAGGTCATCAGAAGACTGACGTTTTATATGAACAAACCATCTAAGGCAACGTTTTATATGAACAAACCATATAAGGCAACTCTTTCTAATCTTATTTGCCACTGGAGCTACTCCAATCTTTTTACTTATATACTCGTTTCGCATTCTATCTCATCTCTGCAATACTTAACTTAATATTATGCTTATCTTTTAATGGCTAACATTATGTGTCATATAGCATTGCAGCTCTCACCACCATCTTATAAAAATTTTTCTTAGTTTGACGGGTACTTTTCTATCACAGAATAGGCTCGATGCATTTCTCTACTTCAACCATCAAACTTGAATTCTAATAATAATATCCCCATATATTTTACCATCACTCCGAACAATAGACCCAGGATATCTATAATGTGTACTCTTATTAATTACTTGATCGTCCAAAGTCATAATCCCCCCACTAAATCTATTACTACTAAAATTATGTTCCATATATTCGGTTTTAGATCTACTCAAACGAAAATCCTTAGACTCTAAGGTTGACATCCATAATTCGAGTTTATTTTTAACTCCCTTTCTAGTCTTATCAACAAGAAGAATATCATCAGCAAAAATCATGCACCACAGTATAACCTCTTGCAAATGTCTAGTGAGAACATCCATGACTAAAGCAAAAAGATATGAGCATAAGGTTGACCCTTGATGTAATCCAACTGAAATAGTAAGTTAGCAACATACTTGGTCAAACCACCTTGTGTTTAAGGCTTTAAGCACAAGTAACAGCTTCAGCATACATATCCTTAATGACTTGAATAAAAATATTATTAACCACTTTCTTTTCTAGAATTCTCCAGAGCACTTCTCTTGGAACTTTATCATATGCTTTTTCTAAATCAATAAATATCATATTTTGATTCTCCTTATTCTCTCTATACTTCTCCATCAAATATCTCAATAAATGTATAGCTTCCATAGTAGACCTACCTGGCATGAATCATAATTGATTTTGAGAAATATTAGTTTCACGTCATAACCTATGCCCAATATCTCATTCCCAAAGTTTTAAAATAGGACACATTAATTTAATTCATCTATAATTCACACACTCTTGTGCATCACTTTTATTCCCAGAAGTATGGTAAGTGACATTAATGAAAATATTTGGAAAACTTACAATTTTTTTGAAGCCAGTGACGGGAGACAACTAGAATGGCAAGTATGTAAAAATCATCAACTTTATATCGTTCTTGGAATGGAAATAGCCGTTGGAGATAATGCTATGAGTAACGGCATTAAATATAATAATATTGAACTTTAGTTGTGGGTTAGTTAAAATTTTTTAAGCGATGATTGTTTTTCCTGCATGCTAAGGCCCAATTTGACAGCGGTTTTTAGTATCTTATTTTGTGTTTTAAGGCAAGATAGAATGTTTTGCTTCAAAATGTTCTCTTTCGACGTAGCTCACCTTGGTCTGTTTATTGGGAACTTTGGCTACCAACCAAGAGGTCTGGGTTCAAGTCTTACGTATGTGATGTGTGTGTGAGTTTGCATTAATCAGCCTAAATGTCTCAAAATAAATAAATAAATAAATCTTTCATCATTTAATAAAATGTCAAAAATATTTCCAATTCATTAACTGTAACTAAAGTGATATACCCCACTGTAATTCAAAACCTTTCCTTCAATAATGCATTAGGAATATATGGTTACATCTGAGCTCCCTTGTCATAACATTCTTACAACCTTTGATGGTTGAAAAGCCTCAGTATCCAAAAACTTTTAAACAATCTACACATTAAAATCTCATACATAAAAAATTTCATATCACTGGATTTGGCCCTTTTGCATCTCCCAAATAGAAAGCAATGCCATAAAATCAGCTTTAGATGCTGTTTTTTAGTCCATTTTGTCGCTCGACCCTTTTGGGTGGCATGGATGCTTCCTTCAGCAATTTTCGACTCAGTGTATTGTAAAATGCTCGCGAATACTGCCTCGAAGCATTCCTCCAATCTGTTCCAGACTTCATCATTGCCTCGAATTCTTGGTAACTAATTTTCCCATCCTGTAAAGATTCAAAGCTTGATCATGTAATAACCAAGGTAGATGTTTAACTAAATATAGAGTTATGCACAACAAAAAAAGATTAGGCTGAGAATAGGGGTGTAAATGAGTCGAGTAGCTCGAGCTCGTTTACTAAACGAGCTCAAACTCGAGCTCGAGCTCGTTTACTAAACGAGCTCAAACTCGAGCTCGAGCTCATTTACTAAACGAGCTCAAACTCGAGCTCGAGCTCGTTTACTAAACGAGCTCAAACTCGAGCTCGAGCTCGACTCGTGAGCTCGATAAGCTCGGCTCGTGAGCCCATAAACGAGTCTAGCTCGAGCCGGCTCGGCTCACTTACACCCCTAGTTAAGAATGAGACGATTTTGAAAAGATCTGGTAATGATAATCACCTTGTCTATATCAACATCTTTTATGATTTCTCGAATCACTTGATCATTCGGATCGAGGTGACCCTCGCCAAGAGCTGCTCTCAGCTCATCAATCTCAATATATCCACTACCATTCTTGTCAAAGTAGTTGAATGCTTGAGGCAGATGCTGCTCACTATTGACCTTCCTTAGATGCAAAGAGACAGTCAAAAACTCATCGCAATCCAGCATTCCATTTCCATCTATGTCTGCCTGCAAAGGAAAGGCACTGCTAAGTTTTCTGGGATGATATATAGGCTTCGTTTGGGGCAGTTTTCTTTCTGCTTCTTGAAGCAGTTTTTTTGGACAAAAATTAAAATTTTTGTACTAAAAAGTTGCTTTAAGAAGCAGATAGAAAGCCGTCCCAAACGAAGCCATAATCTAAAAGATAGTACTCACTGCTTCCAATAGCATCCTGACATCGTGTTCTGGAACAGGCTGACCAATCTTGTGGAACCCTTCCTGAAGTTCTTCAAGGGTCAAGTTCCCATTTTGATCCTTGTCCATCATATGAAACATCTGCATGATTCCATTAATTTCTTCTGAAGGCAACTGATCAGCTACAACCTATAAATAAAAATACTTGGTATCATTCATCTATTGATGAAGAAAATAAAATCAATTAATAGAACTGTTATTTCCTGTATTCAGCCAGCATTTTGCTTAAGATGTAGAGTTAGGAGGCATAGGCTTACCCTCAATGCTTTCTTCTTGAACTTGTTCATCACTAGGAACTGCTTCAACCTAGACCTGACGGCCTCGCCGAGTGGAATATTTGGAGCTGAACTTGCATTCCGCAACCAAGGATGTTCTTCATGCAATAGATAGAAGAGAAATAATGAGTTGTGGGTGTAGATCTAGCTTAAAGATTACCATATATATATTCTATTATATGTTACATTTGTATTCAAAATTATGAATGATAAAGAAGAATCTAAATCCAAATATGAAACTTCAAACAAAGGATTTCCAAAATTGTAATAATTAGCAAATTGACCTGTGCATTTGCATGGGAAATTGTTTTGAATGTTTGAAAAATAGAAAATAAAGATGTGTAATATATGGATAGAAGCATATAGATTTCCAAATCAAATATTTTTTTAAGGTGGGCAAAATCAAAACTTCGTTGTTTAAAGACATCTCGACATCGTTGAGGAAGTCGTGATGGATCTTGCCAAGGAAGTTGTGATGAGATATCGTTAATAAAGGGCTTTGATCGCCATCCCCTCCTTCCCTTCCAGGACAGAGTTTTCGCTGCCGCCCGCATCCCATTTGTCCAATTCTCCCATTCCAAGCTAGATGAAGGACGGCGGCATGTGAATGATCGTGAAGGAGTAGCGGCGTGTGAATGAGTAGGAAGAGATCAACAATGGGGGAAGGGCATTGGATCTTGCTGGCAAAGTGCGGTAGGACCGACAATGTGTGGAAGATAACGAAGAGGGTGAGTTTAGGTGTTTGCTATTTTTTGAAGTTTTTGGTGGTATTTGAGTAAATAGTGAAATTTAGGTGTTATATATTTAAGTGGTAGAATATTTAGTGCTATGTATGCAATCCACCATTTTAAATTTATCTCTATTATTTATTCACTATAAAACTAGTGTAAAATGAGTAACTTCAGGACATTATTATAGATGATGAATCATGTAACCATGATTTATTAATCTAGTTCATAACTTTTCCCATAAACTTATATTAAACTTTGTGTGATCTGCATACATGCAAGTTATTTCTATAATTAATTTGATATTTAAAATAGTAATTAATCATTGACTTATTTTTCTATGATGAAACAAGAAACAAGGAAGAGAATAAAATTTATGTACATGTCAATCATAACTATGAATGGTCCTCATTTCGATTAGATTATTCTATATATGAAATTGTTCTTGTCACTCTCTTTCGTGCCATTTAACCACATTGAATTTACTCATTTGAGAGAGTATAAAAAGTATAGAAAAGTTTGAACAATAATGATTCAAAGGCGTAATTTCAAAAAGGTCAAAGTTTCATCACTTCCTTTATCTCTCGCTATATACAACAATAACAACAACATCAAGATTTTATCCTACTACGTGGGGTCGGCTACATGAATCTTTTTTCTCCATTGTGTCATTTTAAGAGACAAATTCTCATTTAAATCTGATAAAGAAATGTCATATCTAATATTTTCTAACCAAGTCTTTTTAGGTTTATCTCTACTTTTCTTAATATAGATCAAATCTAATACATCTACTCTCCTAATAGGGTCATTGGAAGACAGACGATTTACACGACCAAACCATCAAAGGCGGCTTTCTCTAATCTTATCAGTCACTGGTGCTACTCCAACCTTTTCACGGATATGCTCGTGATAGGAAACACTTGTAGATCTCAAGTAATTCCCATCAATCTTTAAAAATAAAAAAAAAAACAAAAAAAAAGGAGAATTCTCCACAAAATCCACACAAAACCAAGAAAATAGTAGATAATTTGTATTATTTGATTAAAGGGAAACGGAAAATGCCAAGATATAATTGATCCTCTATTCGAGAGGAGGATCTATCTCTCCCAAATCTCTAGACGCCGCTAGAGCCCAAAACCTAAAGAGATAGCCTAATTCAAGATGTCCTAACCCTAGGAAAACCAACTATTTTATGCATACAATCCAAAAGGAATTCTCTAAACACTCCCTACAATCAAATTTCCCTTATGAACTCCTAAATCCTTCCTAATCTGTTCTTTTGGACTATGCGATTTGATCGGTACGAGTAGGAGGCGGAACTTCTCTGCCTTTGTTACATGCAAGCTGGTCCCGTATGGACCGGTCCAGTGGACTGGTCTAATAATACTCTTCTCCCAAAGACCCCACCTTGTCCGCATGGTGGAAAGACGACACCCTCCTCCATTCTTTTGTCATCACAAATGGCAAAAACATGAAGAGTTTGTTCCTTACACCTATGTGCCAGCGTATACCTCTCGTCACATTTGAAACAGAGCCCTTCGTCCTCTTATCATGTAATTCCATTTTTGTGAGCTTCTTGAAGTTGTCCCCAGGTCTTCCTCCTGTGGTTTTTTCCTTCGAAGTCTCCCGAAGAGTATTCAGTGTTGGCTCCTTGGATGCTAATAAGGTAGCCTTATGAGCAATTGCCTCTCGTTCCGCTCTCCAGGTGACTCTCATCATCCACCAACTGATCTAGCTGCATAGCCTCTCCCAAGTCACGAGGTCTCATCACTCTAAACGCTGTGCGGATCTCTGGTTTCAGTCCCTTTATAAAGTTCATCTCTAGTTTAGTCTCGGGAAGCCAATCCAATCGACTAGCGAGGTACTCAAATTGCTCATGATATTCCACCACTATCCCCTTCTGCATCAAAGCGAATAATTGCTCATAGATGAGGAAGCGAATAACTGCTTGTTGGAAACGTTTCAACAAGCAGTCCTTAAACTCTCTCCAGGTCCATATCGCTCATCTCGTATCCCTCCATTGGTACCATGCTAATGCCTTCCCTTCCAAGCACATCCTGGCTGTCGTCAGTCTCTCCCCTTCTGTCAACCTGTTGATAGTGAAATACCTTTCCACCTTGTAGATCCACCCATGATCATCCACCCCCTAAAAAATAAGCATCTTCAGCTTCCTCATCCTCAGATCGCCTTCTTTCCCTTTGTTCCCTTAATAATTTTTCATTCCCCAAAGGGCTGGCTTCCCCAAGTGTTCCAATCATCCCTTTTACATTCATACTCAAGCCTTTTATGAAATTCCCACATTCTCCTTTCAAATTCAGCACCTCTTAGGTCATAACAAGCCCCTCCCCTTTCAAATTCAGCCTCCCTTTTGTCATAATTATCCCTTTCCCTTTCAAATCTCATCCCTCTCCTCGTCAAATCAGCACCCATTCTTTCTTGCCCTACCCCCTCCCCTCTCCTCTTCAAATCAGCACCTCTTATGGGAGATATTCTCTCTTCTCCTCTTTGAATATCCACCTCCTGATCTTCTCTGTCTTATTGAATTAGAGTTTTTCTCGCTTCCTTGGTTGCTAGAGACTTCCCTTGCTTCCGTCGACACCGTTTTAGGTTGGCTCTCGAGCAACTTTTTCAACATCTCTCCCATGTTGGAACAACTTCCATCCATCTTCTCGTGGATGTTTGAAATTTGACTTTTGACCTCTAAAAGTTGAGTGTGGAGATAAGAAATTTCCGATTTCAACTGTCTTATCTCCCCTTCAAGACGTTCTTTCAAATTATCTGTTTTCTTGGCCACCATCAATACCCATATTTTTTTAGACTAAACAAATCTAGATATCGACCCCAAAAACAACAAAACAGCCCATCTTCAAATAAAATTCAGCCGCCGTAATTCACAAAAAACAGCCCAAAAATAGGTCCAAAAATTGCTCTAATACCAATTTGATAGGAAGCACTTGTAGATTTCAAGTGATTCCTATCAATCTTTGAAAAACAGTGAGAATTCTCTACAAAAATCTATAAAAAAATCAAGAAAATAGTTGATAATTTGTATTTTTAGATAAAAGGGAAATGAAAAATACTAAGATACAATTGATCCTCTATTTGAGAGGAGGATCTCTCTCTCCCAAATCTCTAGACGCCGCTAGAGCCTAGAACTTGGAGAGATGTCAAATTTCAACCAAATTCAAGATGCTCTAACCCTAGGAAAACCAACTACATACAATCGACAAGAAAATTTCTAAACAGTCCCTACATTCAAATTTCCCTCCTAAACTCCTAAAATCTTCTCAATATGTTCTTTTGGACTATGTAGTTTGATCAGCACAAGCAGGAGGCAGAACTTCTCCGCCTCTATTACATGCAAGTCAATACTGTATGGACCGGCTATATCGGTCTAACAACTCATTTCTTATCATGTCTCTAAGAGTAAATCCACTCATCCACTTGAGCATCCTCATCTCAACAATACTTAACTTAATACTATGCTTCTCTTTTAATAGCCAACATTATGCGCTGTAAAGCATTGCAAGTCTCACTAGCATCTTATAAAATTTTCTCTAAGTTTGGATGGTACTTTTCTATCACACAACAAACTCGAAGCATTCCGCCATTTCAACATTCCAACTTGAATTCTACTAATAATATTCCCATTTATTTCACCATCACTATGGACAATAGACCCAAGATATCTAAAACAAATACACTTATTAATGACTTCATCGCTCAAAGTCAGAAATCTCTCACTAGATCTATTACTACTAAAATTATACTCAATGGATTCGATTTTAGATCAACTCAAACGAAAATCTTTAGACTCGTATCTCTAGCTGCATGTGTAAATAAATATAGATTGATGATAAATGAACCTACTTTTAAAATATTGGGAGTATCAAAACTACACTTAAGTATGGAAGAAAAATAATTTGTACAAATATATAATATTAAATTCCAAAATAGTCCATAGCCAATTAGTCTAAGTATTAAATACTTTCTATTTGGTCCTTTGGTTGTACAAAGTTAATAAAAAAATGATCACTCAAAGAAATTGTCATATAGAATTAACCTAAATTTAGTTCCTTGATTATATAAAATTGATTATAATTAAAGTTTTATTTGAAACAATTGTTTTATAAAATATCTTTTTAGTTAAAAAAATTTTTATACAAAAAAACTGTTTTAAAAAACAGTAAGAAAGCTGTTCCAAATAAAGCCTAAGGGTTCGTTTGGGACGGCTTTTTTATTGCTTTCTAAAACGGAGTTTTAGTTCAAATTTTTTTATTTTTTAACTAAAACTCCGTTTTAGAAAGCAATAAAAAAGCCGTCCCAAACAAAGCCTAAGTCTCAATGACCATTTGATTAAGTTGATATAGTCTTGAAATCAAATTTGAGAAATATAATATTATGAGATTGAATTGATCAGATATGAATAGTAAGGATCTGTTTTATTGTTTAACCTGCATTTTAGATGGTCTTGGAATGAAAAGACAATTAAGATTTCTGTAAGCTTTACCAAGAACTTGTTGAGCAGTAAGCCTTGTATCAGGGTCTGGATCGAGCATGCGCTTCACAAGATCCTTGGCACTTTCTGAGACCTTTGACCATGGCTCCCTCTTGAAATCAACAGCTGCCCTTATAATCGCCTGTGCAATTCCTTCATCACTATCTGTATTTAAAATCGGTTGACCCATCAGAAATCATAGTCATGAAACTGCTTATAATACTTAGGCTTGATTTGGGACGTCTTTTTTGTTGCTTCTTAAAGCAGCTTTATAGTATAAAATTTTTAATTTTTGTACTTAAAAAATTGTTTTACGAAGCAACAAGAAAGCCGTCCCAAACGAGACCTTAGTCATGAAACTGTTTAAATCAGATGGCCCATCAAAACATCTTGGGCTTCGTTTGAGATGGCTTTTTTACCAGAGCCCTGCATTGGGTACCCATACTCACACTCACTCATGTTGGGTATGGGTACGCACATGGCCTTGTGAGTGGGTATGAGTGGGTACTGAACATTGGGGGATAAATCAACTCATAATGCTAATCACCGTATATCTTATATTACTGCAATTCTCACTACGTAATGTGCAGCACTTAACCACGTTGCTACTACGATAAATTTTGATATGCGTCTTAAAAGTTTACAATCAAAGCAAAGTGCAAATTAAAATTTTATACTAAAAAATTATTTTAAGAAACAATAAAAAAGACATCCAAAAAAACCTCCTTGAGACACAAAAACCAGGAATGCATATAAAATTGAAGAGGGTGAAGGAACGCAAATGGCCGAAGTACCTGCCCAAAAGGGTGGGACTCCACAGAGAAGGATATATAGGATAATCCCAGCACTCCACACATCAACCTCTGGTCCATAATTGCGCTTCAGAAGTTCCGGTGCCATGTAAAATGGACTTCCAACAATCTCGCTGAAGCGCTCACCTTTTTGCAAATACAGATGGTTATAAATTTACAAGAAAATGTAGATATAGACAAGATAGGAAGAACATGGAATCAGGAATCCTACCAGGCTCAAAGAACACAGAGAGGCCAAAATCTATCACTTTCAATGGAGAGTCTTCTGATTGATCTAGAAACAAAAAGTTCTCAGGTTTTAGGTCCCTGTGTATCACGCCATGCTTATGGCATACCTGCAGGAGAACCCTAAATTTGAATTATAATGATCCTTTGAAAGAAATTACGAAGTAAAAAATATGGTGTTCTATTAATGGTTGAAAGAAATGTCAAAAGAAAATATCATAATCACCATTATTATTCTAAATAATAATAAAACAGTTCAAGTAAGATAGCATTGATTCAAATAAATTGCATTTGTAAATAGAATTATTGTACAAATGATATTGCTATCTAGATAACAATGCTATCCAAAGAATACTGAACTAAATTGTCCCTAATATGGCATCACCCATAGATCTTAACATTGCAGGTTAAGGGTATCTCCAATGGAATGCTATTCGGGCATTTGCAGTTCATGTGAACGTTCAATCTAGCAGCATTCAAAAAGATATTTTTTGTGTTTTGAATAGTGCAATCTCAATATTGATGTCATACTGTTTACGAAAGCATTAGGGCATCTCCAACCAAAACTCTCATTTTTCACAGCAAAATGCAGTAAAATCAAAAAGTGCTGAGATTCATCTCCAGTGGAACGCCATTTTGCCCCCAAATCATTGTTCGTTTCTTTCGCGCCTTTCTCGGACGAATTCAGTAGAGAGAAAAAAATGGAGCAAGTGAACAGTGCGACGCCAATATTGGCGTGGCACTGTTCAACTGGGATCAAATGGCGGAAGAAATGGCGTTCGGTTGCGATGTTTGAGGGCCTCCATTTGGCTGTTTGCCGAACGATTGGAGATGGTCTTAATAGAGGAAGAATATACATTTTCTTTTTTTTTTTGTTAGAAATGAATTTTGATTTGATATGTGCTTTGTTGTATTTTGGAGTGGAAAATAATTTTTTTCAATTACAGATGGGGAGAACCGTCCGGTTTGTCTCTGTAAACAGTAAAATCGCAGCTCATTGTATTTTTACTGTTCACAGAGAATCAAATGTTTCTTCCCATCGGGTGTCCACACAAAATAATCTCTCTAGAAGTGAAAGGGTGTGGTACGATCTTTTAGTTTTTCACAATTTTAATATTGCTAATTTCATCATTTAAAATAAAAGATCGATGGAAGTATAGCTTGATTCAGTGAAGGAAATATGGAAATATGCGCACAGCAATTGCAGTGCATACCTGGACAACCTCCATGATAGTCTTGGTAACGCTCGCCGCCGCCCTCTCCGAGTAATGCCCTCGCGCAACGATGCGATCAAATAACTCCCCACCCTCGCATAACTCCATGACAAGATATACGTTGTCCCGATCCTCGTAGGCCTCGATGAACCGGACCAGGTTAGGGTGAACGGGCAAATGCTGCATGATCTCCACCTCCCGCCGGACATCAGCCAAGTCTACAGTGCACCGCAATTGCCGCTTCGATATTGTCTTGCAAGCCAAAGCCTCCCCTGTCTCCACATTGGAGCAGAGCCGCGTCACGCCGAATTCACCTCGACCTAGCTCCCGGCCGAGCTGGTATTGGTAGAGGAAATCGGCGGCGGAGGCCGGGTTAGAGAGGACGAAGATAGGCGAAACCGGGGAACCGGAGGAGGCGACGGAGGAGTCGCGGGGAGAGGTTTCGATCTCGTCATCGGAGTCGGCGGCGGCGGGGAGTAATCGGAGGGATTTCGGATGCGCATGATTGTTGTTGATGGACGGGGAGGAGTAGCACCCGCCCATTTATTGCCGTTGCCGTCGTCGCCGCCGCCGGCGGCGAATTAATTGCTCGCTTGTTGATTTAGATCGATTCTGATTTAATGTGTTCTTCATGTCTTTATTTTTGTCTTTGCCTTTGTATAGACAGAATGGGCGGCGTGGTTTCTCTCCGGTTGGTTGGCGCCTGGTGGTTTGCGGTTATTTTCATCGGTTCTCCGGTTTCTTCTCGCCACCTCACGGTGTTCCTCTTCGCATGGACTCCCAGAGAGGCCAATAGAATATATTTTTAAAATATAACATATAATTTTTATTTAATGCATTTCTAACATATAAAATTTTAAATTTAGTTATTAAATGCTCATAATTTTAAAATATAAAAATATCATTAATATTAACTCATCTAAATAAAATATACTAAAGTATTATATATTATTTTAGTTTCTATTTTATTTTAAATGAGTTAATATTACTAATATTTTAATATTTTAAAATTATGAGTATTAATTAAAAAAATATAAAAATTTATATGTTACATATGTAAATACGTAAGAATATATATATAGGGAGAGACAGAGAGAGATTAAAAAGCTTTAGCTAAAAAAGCATGATTGCTTCTACGTTCTCTAATCTTACAGACAAATGTATTTTTATTTAATTTTAAATTAACTTATTTTTCAACCATGCGTCATTCTATTAGGAAATCATTAATATTAAGCTTCGTTCTGCATGACTTTTTAATATTTCTTAAAGTAATTTTTTTTTACAAAAATTTTATTTTAAGAAGAAATAAGAAATCCCCCCTAAATAAAGCCTTAATCTTCATCATGAAAATTAGTGTAATGAAAAATTTCTTTAAAACCAATAAAAATTTGGCCATCTGTATTTATGCAAAAAGATAATAATATCATAATGAATAATCTTGAGTCATATATATATATATAGTGAAGCTAAAATTTTGTGTGATGTTGCCCAATAAATGTAACACATTATTTTTATAAGATCATGATTATTTGACTGTGATTTATTAATAAAATATGATCATTTGAAAAATACTTATGTCTTCTAGTATATTAATAAAATCATCAAATTCTTTTGTCCAATGGGTAATAACAATAATAAAAAGGCTACCCCATAAACAGCTAGTGTTGGCCTAAGTTCAAAGCTTCAATTGATCAAGATCAACTCCCCAAAATTAGATACTCTTTATGCTACACTCATATTTCACTACTTGCTTTAGATGCACCAATTGACGACTTATATTTCATAGGCACCGTAACGGGTTATTTTGATAATAATGGGACCCCACCTATTTTAGTATATATTATTCTGTGCAGATACCAAACGAGAAGAATCGTCCAGTTTTGTCTCTGTGAACAATAAAAGTGCAGCTTCACCGTGCTATTACTGTTCATAGAGATAAATCAAACGGTTCTCCTCGTACGGTGTCTGCACATAATAATTCATCATATTTTAGACATCCCTCTTATGGGTGTACGTTTACACCCACTAAGAATTGCTTATTATGTTTTTCATGCCTTTGATGAGTACTAAAGAGCTCCTTGATATGCATATTTTTGGTGTCAAGTCTTACGCACCTAATTGCTCTCATAAGTGCAAGTGTAATGATGTTACATAAGTACCCTCTAAGTTTCATATAATTGCAACGGTCTTAGAGCCCCCAACTTATTTTAGACAAACCATTTAGTACGATACTAGGGTTATTTATTGTTAATTTCTTTCAATAGATTTGATTTTTGTCTATTAGCTATTCCTAAGTTGAATCATATGCATCAATGTCAGTCTATAATAAATTTCATTAAAATTTTCAAACGCATTTACTATTTTTCATAGTTATGATTTTTTTTCTTAATTAAGAAAAATAGCAAATAAATTACAAGAATTGTGAACTTTTTTAGGGCTATTAATTTATTTCCACGAGTTTGTTGATCACTACCTTTCATTTAAATGTCAAAATTTTAATTTTCAAAGCAATTTTTCGTGTTTTTTTTTTCAATCTTTAATTAAAAATATGTGCATTAGTCACTGTTTAATGTCCAAATTATTTGTCATAAAACAAAGATCATAACATTTACAAAATAGATTTTAGATTTATTTTAATTTTTTCCTAAGTTTTGTTACTATTACAAGCTTTTTTAATTATTAAAAATAGAAAATAATGACAAATTTCGGAAAAAAAGGGGGATATTTCTTAATCAGGTTTTAATTAGACTATCTATCCTCATTGTTTGTTCAGAGATAGATTAATTTCATCTTCTTAAAATTTATTTTAAAAATAAATTTTATAGTTAATTAAAGCAACCATTTCCAATTAACAAAATATAATTATCCAATTTTCTTTCTTAAGGAAGGGCTCATGTCCACTAAGAACCCTAATTATATTATTTTCTTATATATTTATTACCATGTACTCTTGATAATTTAAATCATCTCTAAACATTTACAAATTATTTATCTTTTAAATATTTAAAGCATATCAAATTCTTGATTCATGAGTCTAGGTTGGATGTAAGTTAATTTCTTAAGCATCTAGATCTCATATTGATATGCATTTTCATTTGTATTTAGTTGAAATTTGTACCTAATTGGCTCAACAGGTTTAGCTCTTAGATACAGTGTGATGTCCCAAGTCCTAAATTTGAAAGAATTGCCTATTTCATATTTTAATTAATATACCAGAACTTCTAATAATGTATCAATATAAATAAGTCAAATAGAAGAAACTATAAATCATAAGACTCAATATATTTATATATTCAATCATCAAAATTCAATTTATAATAATTAGGAGATCAATCACTACATTAATTTATCTCTCTGTACTCATGACTACAAAAGAATAAAATAAACAAAACAAAACTGGGGATCCTAATCTACCTCACTCCGATCCATTGGATCTTGACCCCTTTTTGAAGAATATGTAAAACCACTGAGTGAGCTAAGAGCTCGGAAAGGGATGGAAAAACTAGCCTGAACTTATTTTCTCTCTCCTCTCTCTACCCTCTCTCCCCTTTTCCTCATTTCATCTTCCTAGCCAAGCAAATGAAATGAGGAAGGTACGGATGTGGTGTGGGTTGTTAAGTGAATGGAAAATTAAAATTTATTAAAAATAATTTTTTGACCTAGTACTACAGTGCTAAAGACCACAATGCCATTATACTCACTTAAACCCCAAAAAATTCAAGAGCTTAGTATTGCGATGCCCCCAACATCAGCACCGCATCACTCTCTTAGACAAATTTTTTTTTTTTTTTTTGGAATTTAGGGAAATTATTGAAAAGATTCATCTTATTAAAGTTAGATTGAAAGCGGTGCATGATAAACAAAAATAGTATTAGGATGCAAAGAACTGAGATTCAAAATTTCATATTCGAAATTTTATATATTTGAAGATCAAAATGATGAAATGCATTAGCAAGTTCGAAAAAAAAAAGTTGAGTTTAAGATATATTGAACCAATTGAAATAATGGAAAGGATTAGAAAATATACCTAAAAATTATAGTTAGGAGAGTATACGTTTAATATTGATAATGTATTTTATGTGTCATCTCTGAGAAAATGGATACTTGATTCTAGGAATCAAATATCTGCAGATGAAGTTGTGTTGGGTTTTGATCACTAGTAACCTTTGTACTTCACAATGAATAGGCTCAACTAGAGTTGTAACAATTTACCCTCGATCATCTATTTAATTAGCCTAATGATTTTTTTTTAAATGTTGAGTATATAATAAGCAATATCTATCTACTATTAGCACATCAATAGCTAATCAAGAAAAAACTATAATATTTCCTCAAAGATAACTAATAAGATTATATTTAGTGCTGATCGAAAGAGTTTAGCTTTATTCTTCTTAATAAAATGTGATCTTCCTCAATTATTTCCATAGTCTTGAGTCCATCTCCCATATGAACCTCAAGATTCATAACCTTCTCTTAAAGATTTCTATAGGTTTTAAATAACTTGCTTTTAACTACAACAATTTTTTTAGATTATGATGACTTGTCCTCATGTTGGAAACTTCATAGCAACATATGACAAGTAATACAAAGCTCACCTTGGCCTATTGGTTGAGAGCTGAGGCTTTCAACCAAGAGGTTTTGGATTCGAGTCTTTGTGTATGCGTTGTGTGTGTGAGTTTGCCTTAAATGACCTAAATGTCCAAAAAAAAAAACCTATGACAAGTAAAGACTATAATCTTAAAAATGCTCAAGAAAGGATGACCAAATATAACATTGTAGACAATCAAGGCATTGATTATCAAATCATCCATCATAGCCTATTGTGGCTCTCCTCCCCAAGCAATGGACAACATAATTACTCTTTATGTTTCCTTGTGTGATGGTGTTCTTATTGTCATAGATGTTAGTAGCAAGATTTCTTGACCAACATCAAGTTTTTATGGTCACCACAGTGACATTTTAAAAATTGTTGAAAGTTATCTGTCATTTGAAGTCATGCGATCAACTAAATTAACTGATTCATGGCAAGTCTAAGCAACTTGACTATTATAAGTTGAGTGCATATTTTAAATGACCTATTCCTTAAACACTGAGTGCGAATAACATGTCATAATTGACTCCAAATATTTTGCCTCTAACATCTCCCAATGGGATCAAATAATTTTTTGGGATTCACCCAAATACCTCTTCTTCGATGAAGCTTGAGGTCCTTGAGGATTTTCTAGAGACTTTTGGGACTTGCAAACTAGGTGATATGCATTTTGTACTCATCAAAAGAAGTGATACTAACAAGTTGAAGATAGGAGCACTAGGGGTGTCAATATTGGACCCGACTTGAAAATTTTGGGTTTGGGTTGACCCGAACTTGAAGCGGGTCGGGTTCGGGTCTGGAAAACCAACCCGTTTTAAAAGCCGGGTCGGGTTCGGTTTGACCCGGAAACCCAGGAATGACACGGAATAACACAAACCCGGTTGCCCCGGCTGCCCCTCGACCGCCTGCCCGGCTGCCCCAGCCACGTCGCGTCGCGTCGTGTCCCGAAGACAGCGTCGCGTTGAGACCGGCGTCAGTTCCGTGTACCGTGTCAATTGCTGGCGTCAGCCCCGCATCGCACACTCGACTGCACCCTGCGTCACGCACTCGCGCGCACCCCGCATCGCGAACTCGCGCACTTGCGCGCTCGCACTCGCACGTGCCTAGCGTCCAGCGTCCAGCACTCGCGAGAGCCTAGCGTCTTGCACTCGCGCGCGCCCAGCGTCCCTCACTCGTGCCGTCGCGTTCGCCCTGTGTCCCACGTTAATTTCGCATTGGCCGTGTCCGCAGGTAGGGTCGGGTTGACCCGAACCAGAAGCGAGTCGGGTTCGGGTCCAGAAAATCGACCCGTTTGCAAAAACATGTCGAGTCGACCCGAACCCAAAGTGCTGGGTCAATTTCGGATTCGACCCGAACCCGACCCGTAACCCAAAATTAACACCCTGAGGAGCACCATCTAAGTGGTAACTATTTTATGGTAATAAGGAAAAATCGGCGCTTAGTGCATCATTAAAATTCAACAGTAAAATCATAGGCCCACCCACTATGGGAGTTGAAGTCAATGCTCACAAATTTAGTGGCTGCCAGAAAATGATGGAATAAAAAGATCCATCTTTAAGAACTATCTATTGAGTAATTCATGGATCAAACTCCAAAACTATTTGAATCAATCTGATTAGCCCTTCTCATTAGTAATCAAATCTTAAGTTTCATTTGAGACAACTTCTTATTTTTTGAAATAATTTTTTGATTAAAAAATTTTAATTTTTATATTAAAAAATTACTTTAAAAATTAATAAAAAAATTATTCCAAACGAGACCTTAATTCTCCATTACAATGAATCTTTCATCATTGTAATAAAAATTTAAAAATTTAAATTTTTCATATGTAATTACCCCAACAAATTTTTTTGCATATGAATCTAATCGAAGTTTTACTATTGAAAGTCTTGAGCTTCATTTGAAACAATTTTTTTATTACCTCTTAAAACAATTTTAGTACAAATATTTTAATTATCTTTCATCATTGTAATAAAAATTAAAGTTTTAAATATGTAATTACCCCAACGAATTTTTTACATACGAATCTAATTAGAAGTTTTACTATTGAAAGTCTTCGGCTTCGTTTGGGACAATTTTTTTATTGCTTCTTAAAAAAAAAAAATTAATTTTTTGTACTAAAACTCTGTTTTAAAAAACAATTGAAAAATTATCCCAAAGAAGCCTTAGACGGGAAAAAAGCTCATATTAAGCTAAATATATTAATTGAACACAAAGTTTTGACTTAATTGCTTAAGAAGCCGAGCAGCTCATTTAAAAACACAGCCAACAGCGGACAGCCCAACTGCGAAACAGGCAGACTCAAGTAGAAAGTTTTTAATCCAGATAGATAGATGAAAAAGTTTTTATATTGGTAAAATAAACAGTTAAAACAATAGTAGTCTGCCCAGTTCAAGTCTCAACCACTAGTTCTGTTTCCTGGTCGGATTTCTCGTCGCAATTAGACTCGTTTGGTTCGTCTTTTGGTTCATTTTGGGACATGAGTTTCTTCAGCAATCTATCCTTCTCTTCCAGCTTCTCCTGTAATAAAGCCACCTGCAGTTCAATGGAAAATCAATTATAAGCGTTCCAGAACGCAGAATACACTGAACAATTGGAATATGACACACTCCAAACCAAGGTAATGGTCATCATATTGCATCATCATAGCATAAGATGGTTTAATAACGTAATGGTTCTATCACATTTCATGCTCATTACATGAATATTAAGAACGCATTGCATGGCATATATGTGAAAAGGTTGAGTAGCTCCAGCGGAAGATGAGATTAGAAAGAGTCACCCTAAGATGGCTTGGTTACATAAAACAGCGGCCTTATGATGACCCGATTCGAAGAGTAGATGTATTAGATTTGACTTATGTTAAGAAAGGTAGAGGTAGACCAAAAAAGACTTGATTAGAAAATATTATAAAAGACCTTTCTTTATTAGATTTAAATGAGAATTTAACTCTTAACATGACACAATAGAGAAAAATGATTCATGTAGCCGACACCCACATAGTGGGATAAAAACTTGATGTTGTTGTTTTTGTTGTTACATGGCTTAATGTTCCACTAGGGGTGAAACCAAAAAGAGCTCAAAGTGAACAATTACTCGCCCTAAATTCTTTTTTTTTTCCATAAGAGAATTAGTATTTTAATTATTTTGCCTATCTTCAATAAATGTAGTTGCCCAAATTCTATAAAAGATTCATTTTTCTATTTCATACAAAAAAATTATGCATTTTATAAACCAATTTTATCCGCCCTAAAAAAGGAGGCTGGTTCAGCCCCTATTGCATTATGAGCAGGAATTCAAGAATTTACGAGTTCTAATTGTACAGATTTTTAAACTTAATGGAAAAAATCCATACGCTCATTTATTGAAATTTTCATGATTAGAAGCTCCGTCGTATAGTTCATTCTGGATGTAAGTTTTGAGGCCATTAAAATGATATGATAAGCAGAAACAAAGATAGGTATAGCTAAAATTCAACTTAACTAACATTAGCAAGCTTCTACCTTGCATAATGAAACATATTAAAAAACAGAGAGGCTAACCAAAGATGAAAATCATTAAAATCCTTAAAGTTAGGAAACAGCCAAAGTAACAAAATTAATGAAAACCCATTTTCCAAGTGAACAAGTTTAAGGGATTAAAATGTTAATATATACATAAAATGAACTTTGAAAAGAATAGTACTATGCAAGAATTGACATTGCAATCCTCATAATTAAACAATGAAATAGAGTAACAGAATACTTGATGAAGAGATTACCATTTCATTAGACGTGTCAAGATCACTTGCAAGTCCTTCTGTGTGCTTATATAGCGCTGCATGCAACATTATAACAAAAACGTTAGTACATAATTGAAAATATACGGAACCACCAAAAAGAGCAATTGCTACAAAAGTTTTGGCAGCTGGCAGCTCAAAACATCACAGCAAGAACAAATAAGAAAAGCATGCCACAAAATTCTACATAAAACTATGAGCATAGTAAAATACAAACTAACAACTAAAAAAGCCCATAATCTCTGTAAATTATTAAAAAACAAACAAACAAACACAAACAGTTTGAATGAATATAATTCAACATCTCATTGAATTCACACATAAACTTGATGTCTTAATTCCATTCCCTATTTCCTTTGGCCTCTTTAATGTAACCGTAGTCCTAACCTCCCTTGTTAAGAGACTCTAAACTAATCACCTCATGACTTACGGAGAACACGATCAAATGCCATCGTTTAGCTCTTGCTGCCACCTACTTCGTTATTAAATTTCACACGCCACTATCATAGCCTCAGACTGAAACAAAATTCATGTAGTTAGCCACTCCCTGTCCAGCCTTCCCTGCATTTTTAGGTCCCCTCCCCAAGCTTCCCCTCTAGCTTCTGCTTCCACTTCCATAGTTGAACACTATATATGACCCTCTGCCTCAGTTCCCTCCTCTCCTTAACCCCCACCACTACAAATAGAAGAGTTATTTCTATGGCCCATTGTCTCAGTCCCCTCCTCTACCAACCACCCCTTACTCCACCTTTAATCCCTCTCTTTTGTCTTTCCTTTGGGGTGCCCTCCGCTTTCGTTCATCCTCTCCACCTCACCCTCACTCACGCCCTCCCTCCTTTCTCCCATCCTCACCATTCACCAACATATATTGAGCAGAGCTTCATCCCTCTATCAGGTAAAGCACGACTTCAGTACTTCAACTTTCCCTTTCTTTACCTGGTTCCACCATTCAAATTCTCAAAATGCTCTTTAGAATTATATCTGAATACATCATGATGAGATGGAATACATGGTGCATACTTAAGCTTCACAACTTGAAACAGTGGCACCTATAAATTTTCCCTCATGGTTGTATTGGAAGTTGTTATTTCACGGTTTGCATCAAACTACAACAATTCATAACATTCTCATTTTAACACATGATTTAAGGGTTTGAACACTTTAATATGGATGAACTAGGATGACCGTAGGAAATTTGGATTTTGTCAGCTGACATTCCATTTCATTAGGCATGGGCTTTTTCTTTTTTCTTCCTTTCTCAGCCCAACGTTAAAAAAGCTACTTTATGAGCTAGAATATTTGTTCTACTGTCCAGAAAACAACTTTTACAAGAAAAGGAAAAATTATTTGCTCAACCCTTTTTTGAATGCAAACAACACCTCATCTGCTTTCTGAAAGCTTATCCTAAATAGCTTGTGTTTACCCAAAGTTGCCATGAAACTTAGGTTTCATTTGGAACGGCTTTTTTATTGCTTCTTAAAGTAGCTTTCTAGTAAAAAAAAAATTGTACTAGAAAACAGCTTTAAGAAGTGGTTTTGTACTAGAAAACAGCTTTAAGAAGCAGTAAGAAAGAATTTCCAAATTAAACCTTAAATTTCTATTAACAGGCTCATTTTCTATTAACCAATATATTATTAGTGCCACGCTTGATACAGATTTTTTGTGGGCCATTGACCATTCGTGCGGAAGGAAAATAATTTGTCGTTGATCATGGTTATCCTTGGTTTTTCTTAATCTAATAGCCGTTTTAATGTTTTTCAGAATGTATGTTCCATGCGTAAAAGGTCAAAAAACAGCTGAAATATTCAAAAACATAAATATGCAAGTGTTTGTATAAGAAGATGGAAAAAAGGTACACATGAACTTGTATTTTCTAAGTGTATTTTCAAGAAGAGTAGTAAACATCGTTGCCATAGTGCACCTATAATATGCTAACAATCATGTTTACAAAGTTAAAAGTCAAACAGAACCTTTCTTTTTTCTGAAAGCATGGGTATCATTCATATAAATCAGATTACACAAAAACCAATTGCTATAAAGGGAAAACACATACGAAGACAAATAAAAGCAGGAATAAAAATTACTGGAAAGCCATAGAATGTATGGCATATTCTTGTAAATTCAAAAAAAGAATAGACTCATTTTTAATGATACATAATCTTTCCTGGACATCTTAACAACAAGATAACAAATATATCAAGGCGTCTTTGATCCGCGCATTAATTATCAAATTTAATTCTTCTTTCTCGTCCATTATTTCTTCCAATAATCAGGAAATAAGAAAATAGCTGAGGCAAAATGTAAACGGCATAATGTGCAACTCACCCTCAAATTGATTTTTTAGCTCTGCATTTTGAGTTTTCAGCACAGCGATTTTCATCCCCATTTCATGAATCTGAAAATGCAAATCAATAGTAAGCAGAAAAAAAGTCGGGAGATTCTCACATTCATGCCACGAAACAAAATGGGGGTATTTACTTGTGTTAACTTACAGGCGAAAAAAAAGGATAAATATAACAGCCCAAATATTCAACAAAACAATCAATGGGCCATTTGCTAGACTTAAGAAGCAAATAGATACACGCTAGCAATAAAAATAAAAACATGTAATTACGTGGACAACTGGACACTTTCATACATCAAACTCTTATGTTCTTTAACATTCTGCATTATTTACCTTTCCCTCAGAAGCCACTGCACCAATCTCCTCATTTTCTTCCTGCAGGGTTCTGCATTTAGCCATTAACATCTTACCCAGCCTGCTATTTGCAGTAAAATTAACAGCAGCAAGATTATCTTGCAACTCCTTCACTTTCTTTTCTTTCTCTTCAACCAAATTCTGTCCAACAACGAAGCACAAATTATAGAAGCAAACCAATGAAAAGTTCCTTCTCTCTTGTTTTCAATAGATTTCTAATGAATAGAGTTTACGGGGAAAAAAAAGTGGTATATAGTTAATAAACAAAAGCATGCTATAATGGGTGGTGGACCGAGAATTAAAAATGTAAAAAAAAAATCTTTAGAGAACTAGTTTTGCATAAGTATCTTGTAAGAATAAAATGGGCTTCCACTCTTTAAAGAAAAAAAAAATGTAGTCTTCTCAGTTGGCATGCACCTTCAAGCGTGTGAATTCCTCATGTATTGCTGGATCAAGCAACAACCTTCTTGTCTGTTCAAGATAAGGAAACATGATGATTAACCAAAGTGCGGCATATAAGAGTAGAAAAAAAGACCAACATAAACCGGAAATGCCCTATATTGTCTAATAGAAAACAAAATGAAAAATCAAAACTTAGTTTTATATAAACAATCTAATAAAAATAGCATTAAAATAAGTCTATCTGGGAGTATAAAATCATATATACTTCAGTAATTTTCACGCATCTTCGAACATCTCCATGTCACTATGTAGGATGTGGTATAACTTGCTAGAAAATTCAGATTCAGCTTAGATAACCCCTTCAAAATGAACATTTTGTTTATTTCTCGAATGCAAAACTAAATTAATTATAAACTTTATGATGACACCGAAGCGCACATCCCAATTAAGTGGGATAAGGCTAATGATGATGATGACGTTAAAGATGCCACCACCAAAATATTCTCTCAATACCTTTTTGATTAAGATGTACAACGAATAATGCATATGAAAAATTATCATATTTAAAGTATCATTTTGGCTGAATATTTTTTAAGCTTTAAGCCTGTATATTTTATAAGAGGATGCACCCTGGTATATCCTTTTTGGTGATGTTGTTGACAAGACTAGAGAAGGAGTTGAAGGAAAACTTAAATTATAGAGGTCAATCTAAGAGTCTAAAGGATTTTCATTTTAGTAGATATAAAAATAAATACATAGAGTGCAATTTTAGTAGTGATAGATCTAGTGAGGCGATTATGATGTTTGGTGATCAAGTCATTAAAAAGAGTATAGATTTTAGATATTGCGGATCTATTGTTCAAAAAGATGGTGAAATAGATAGCATATTATTAGTAGAATTCAAGTTGGATGGTTGAAGTGGAGGAATGCATCCGGCCTGTTGTGTGATAGAAAAGTACCCCTCAAATTTAAGGGAAAATTCTATAAGATGGTGATGAGACCAGTAAGGCTGTAATGCTTTATGGAGCATAATGTTAGCCATTAAAAGAGAAGCATAAAATTAAGTTAAGTCGACAGATATGAATATGCTCCAGTGGTTGAGTGGCTTTACATTTAGAGACAAAATGTGAAACAAATATGCATGTGATAAGGTAGGAGTAGCTCCAGTGGCAGATAAGATTGGGATACTCTCCTTAGATGGTTTGGTCATATAAAACATCAGCCTTCCGAGAGTAGATGTATTAGATTTGACCTATGTTAAGAAAGGTGGATGTACACCTAAAAAGACTTTGTTATAAAGTATTAGAAATGAATTTTGTTTATTATATTTAAATGAGGATTTGACTCTTAATAGGACACAATAGACAAAAATGATTCATGTTGCCGACCCCAAAAGGGAAGATAAAGGCTCGATGTTATTGTTGTTGTAGTACTTTGGCTAAATATTTATAATAAAAACCTGCATTATATATTATTACTATATTTCATCATTATTGAGAATATTCTACTTATTATATTTTCTTTTATTATTCTCTTCTATATAATTACAGACATATTTGTATTAAGATGAAAATTCAATAAAAATATAATCCTTTACAATTCTTTCTCCTATCCAACTTAGTATTAGAATAATAAGATTCTCTAGATTTCAAGTTGGATGGTTGAAGTGGCGGAATGCATCGGGCTTGTTATGTGATAGAAATGTACCCCTCAAACTTAAGGGAAAATTCTATAAGATGGTAGTGAGGCCTGCAATGCTTTATGGTGCCGAATGTTGGCCATTAAAAGAGAAGCATAATACTAACTTAAGTGTGGCAGAGATGAGGATGCTTAGATGGATGAGTGGCTTTACCCTTAGAGATAGGATACGAAATGAGCATATACGTGAAAAGGTTGGAGTAGCTCCAGTAGAAGATAAGATTAGAGAGAGTCGCCTTAGAAGGTTTGGTCACATAAAAAGGCGGCCTTCCGATGACCCGGTTAGGAGAGTAGAGGTATTAGATTTGACTTGTGTTAAGAAAGGTAGGGGTAGACCTAAAAAGACTTGGTTAGAAAATATTAGGAATGACCTTTCTTTATTAGATTTAAACGAGAATTTGACTTTTAATAGGACACAATGGAGAAAAAGGATTCATGTAGCCGACCCCACGTAGTGGGATAAAGGCTTGATGTTGTTGTTGTATGTTGTTGTTGCCTTTTTGTTGCGCCTAAGTTGTGATTAAGATAAGCGAGCACGTGAGCAAGATCAAACACAACTCAATAAATGACTCATAAGAAAAGCTATAGATGAGCTAGAGCCAACTTTGATTGAACTCATCAACTCGTGAGCAAGCTCGTCTAAGAATATCAATATAAATGTACTGAAAAAATAAAATTAAGGGTTAACTATAAATTAAAAAAAAATGCAAACAACCATAGTTCTCATCCTTATCTTAATCTATTTCTCATCATTTATTCTCTAATATCTCAATCTTTTCATGATTTCATTACCTTGAATCCTCAAATCGTATGACTTTCTGTCTTTAATAATAAATAAGCTAGCTCATAAACTAGCACAAACTCATAAAATTAAGCTCAAGCTTGAATTTAATTAATAATCAAGCACAAGCTCAAGTCAAGAGTGTCTAGAATACTAGAATTTCACTTAACTCGTTTACAAACCTAGCTCCACCAGCAAACTTAACCTTCTATCACACTCACCGGCTTGTGTGTCTCTTGTTGCACTACCATAATGCCGTTGCCAACCTCCAAAAAAATAGAACACCTCTTTCTCATACTGTCACACCTCTCACCTCTCTAAATATCATCTATAACTGATCTCCATCATTAACTATTAAGGCACTTAACCTCCTCTATTTCTCACAAGTTTTGTTCACTTTTGTAATCTACTTCTGATGCTCAATACTCAATAGTGACAACATCTGTGGTATTTATCCTTTGTGCATCGACCTCTTTGTTGACACTCTCTATCAATACTCTCCATTGATAACTCTTTCACAATTTTAGGACCTATCGGTGCCTTTTCTAATGCATAATATATCACCGCCAACTCTTTGTGTCTTCTTTACTCTATTCAATTTTTCAATAATTGTTGTGCACCTCTAGCAACACTTGCAATCATTGGGCAATAAAACCTTCAATAATTTTATCAAGTGTTGCCATACTTAAATTATCACAAATGCTAATTATTTTAAGTAAGAATAAGTACAAGTTATAATTATAATATTTTCTCATTATTGAGGATATTCACCTTTATTGTATTTTTCTTCATTGTTCACTTCTCCTGTGTGTGTGTATAGAGTTAAATTTCAAAATAATCCCCAAACTATTTGTATATATCTATTTTATTCCCAAAGTATAACCTTACACTAATTTAATCCCTCAACTATACGAAATTGATTCAAAATAATCCTTTGAGACTAAGGATTCATTTGAGACGGCTTTCTTACTGCTTCTTAAAGTAGTTTTTTAGAACAAAAATTTTAATTTTTTAACTAAAAAGCAGTTTTAAGAAGCAGTAAGAAAGTCGGCTCAAACGAAGCCTAAATTGAGATCAACAACAGCAACAAGCATTTAACATAAATTCTTTTTCTCCATTGTGATAGGTTAAGTCAAAATTTTTTTTAAATCTAATAAAGAAAGGTCATTTCTAATATTTTTTAACCAAGTCTTTTTAGGTCTACCTCTACCTCTCTTAACATAAGCCAAATTTAATACATCTACTTTCCTAACCGGTCATCGGAATGCCACTGTTTTATATGACCAAACCATTAAAGGCGACTCTCTCTAATCTTATCTTCCACTGGAGCTACTCCAATCTTTTCACGTATATGCTCATTTCGTATCATATCCCTAAGAGCAAAACCACTCATCCATCTGAGCATCCTCATCTCTGCAACACATAGCTTAATATTATGCTTCTCTTTTAAATGCCAACATTCTGCATTGCAAATCTTACCACCATCTTATAGAATTTTCCCTTAAGTTTAAGGGGGACTTTTCCATCACACAACAAGCTCGATGCATTCCTCCACTTCAACCATCCAACTTGAATTCTACTAATAACATCCCCATCTATTTCATCATCACTCTAAAAAATAGACCCAATATATTTAAAATGTGTACTCTTAATAATTACTTGATCGCCTAAAGTCGCAACCGCCCCCCCCCCCCCCCCCCCCCCCCCCCCCCCCCCCCCCCCCACTAGATCTATTACTACTAAAATTATACTCCATATATTCAGTTTTAGAAGATCTGCTCAAACGAAAACCTTTATACTCTACAATTGACCTCCATAATTCAACTATACCTTCAACTCCCTCTCTAGTCTTATCAACAAGAAGAATATCATCCGCAAAAAGCATACACCAGGGTACAACCTCTTGCAAATGTCTAGAGAGAACATCCATGACTAAAGCAAAAAGATACAGGCTTAAGATTGATCCTTGATGTAATCCAAGGAAATAGAAAAATACTTGGTCAAACCACCATGTGTTTGAACACAAGTAACAACTGCATAGTGCATACATATCCTTAATGACTTGAATATAAGCATTATTAACTCATTTCTTTCTAGCACTCTCCATAGCACTTTTCTTGAATCTTTATTATATGCTTTCTCTAAATGAATAAATATCATATGTAAATCCTCCTTATTCTCTATATACTACTCCATCAAACCTCTCAATAAATGTATAGCTTCCATAGTAGACCTACCTAGCATGAATCCAATTTTATAAAATCAATATGTAAAATCAAGGGACTAAATTAAGATCAATTTTGTCAAATCGAGGGACTAAATTGGAAATAATTTTATATCACAATTATAATATGAGGAACTATTTGGATCAAATTTGTATAGTCGATTGACTAAATTGAGAGAAATGATACTTTGGGATTAAATTGACCATACAAAAATAATCTGGGGACCATTATGAGAATTTTCAGTATATATGCGTGCGCGCGCACACTCACTCACTCACATATATTATTTATAAATAGATGAATATTAAGATATAATCTTTTGCAAGTATTTATCATTTCCAAAACTAACCAGCACCCTTCAGCAGTGACCAGCTTTTGTAATGCCCATTGGCAACTTAGTCCTAAAGCATCAAATTCCTAGTTACATAAACACATTGCCCATAATGGGAAAATCCATCAACAATCACATTACGAACATTACAAATCTCGCATCGATAAAAAATGCTTTTGGCTGATATGGCAGCAGCCAATGCAATGAAACCAAAATTACAATACATGCACAGAGTAATTGATTTCAAGTCGACCATGAGGTAAAGGGTATCAAGCTGACAACATAATACTACGCTCCAAGATTACATTATTCATAGGGCAAACAAGTGCAGTTCTGCCATACAGGCCCAAATTTTAATGCTAAATTATTAATATGTAAAGTATATATCTTCAATAAATAAAGCTTTACTGTGTCTGATACCCATTGGGAAGTACACGTTTCATTCAGTCCGAAGATTATCAGAAAAGAAGAAATCACAGAACATGCAGGCATGCAACATCTTTATAAGCATATAACTTGGTGAATATAAAACAAAAACATGCAGGAGATATGTGTTTCTCTATTTGAAAATATGCCAACTAATAGAGTTGGAAATACATACAAAAACAAGAGAAATGTCAGAATATTTATAATTTTATACCTGCATGGATGGAGGTTGCAACTGTTTCTTGAGATCACGAACTGCTGACTAAAACAGAAAAAGTAAAACATGATTAAGCTAAATTACACAAACAACAGTAACTATATCCAAACTCATGTGATTCAAATGTTAAATTTTACTGTAAGCTCAAAGAATAAAGAAGTTTATACTATTGAGTAGTCAGGAATTGGCCTTGGCTTTTATTCCAAGTAAGAGAAGACCATCATAAATACATAACAACAAAGAGGTACAAGCAAACATCAAATATACAATAACAAAAAGGTACAAGCACACAAATCAAAATCCATTATCTTATCCCGCTGTCAGAAAAAGACAAGAACAAAGTGGGAAAATGCAATGAAATAACAACTAGAACTGGAAAAAGAAAGTAGTTCAATGAAAAGAGAATGCTCATCTAAAAAACACAGCAAGACTAACACGAACACCAATCTCTTAACTTATTAATTAAGAAAGAGAAAGCAAAGAAATTCATAACAATCATATAGTATACAGTCAATTGTTGACTTCAAGGATGTCAATATGATAATGAAATTTTTCTCAAGTGGGGGAGGGGGGCCAATAGATGAAGGTACTCTGTTCAGAAAAGATGTATGAATACATTAATGAGAAACGGAGGTTTCCTCCCCTCTTTAAAGCATGCATGAGTATAACTCTTTATGATGAAGAGAGTGGAAAATGTTAAAGGTCAAGGATTGCTTAGATGGCACATAAATCAAAACAAGCTTGCTATAAATATCTAGATCATCCATTCAGGTAAGGAAATAATGGTCTAGTATGAAAGAAAATGAGAAAATGATCAAAATTGTCCATTGACTCTGTATGAAAGACCAAAACAGCCCCTAATTATACTAAAGGACTATTTGCTCCCAAACTAGTCCCACCATGGGACTATTTGCTCCCAAGCTAGTCCCACCATGGGACTATTTTGATTCCTTTTAAAATTTTTGAGAGACCAAAATGATTATTTAATATAATTGGGGATTATTTTGGTCCATAAAAAGTCAATAGATCATTTTGAAACTTTTCTCAAAAGAAAAGCATAACAAAGAAAAGAATCCTTCCCAAAGAACAATTCTATAACCCATGGCATGGAGAGAAGGAAGGGCAAAAAATTAAAGAAAGGCTAGGCAATCAAAAGATAATAGAAAGTATAATAGGCATAATTCGTTACCTTCAAGTCAGCAATCTCCTGATCTCTTTTTGCGAAAGTTACTATGAACGCAGCTTCCCTCTTCTTAGCCTTATCAAGCTGAAAAAAAAAAATACAAGAAGCATCTTATCATATGGAATGAAGCTAATTTCGTTAAAGTTTGCAAGAGAAGTGCAGCGGACCTGCTCTTTCAAGGAATCTTCTGAGGATTTCAAGTTCTGAAGATGGGTAACAACTAAAGTAGGTTCTGTGTTGGATAATAATCAGAGAAACTAAATTCTTTGCACAAAAAAGTCGGGAGAATTTCCCAAATGAATACCAAAGTGGAAAAACAAATTAAACAATTAAGAGATCTTTAAGAATATAAAGCAGAATGCAAACCTGGAGATGCACCAGCAGGCAAAGCTGGCCCATTTTGAAATGCAGAATGCCACTTTTGGATCTCAACCTGTGCCGCTTGTAACTCTACCTGCAATACATGATAAAAGAAAGAGGATCTTATATCTAGATAAGACTATCTGCATCAAATAAAATCTCACAATCAATATTTGACAAATTACATTAAAAATTATCAAATTAAATCCATAAGTTTTTGGCAATCATTGATGTATTAATATTGCTATTAAGATCAATCTAATTTCCATGATGAAAGTTGAGTTCAGCTTCCAAGGTTTCATTTTTTCATTATCTGTGCATGCACAATAACTACTTTTCTCTTCATGGCTCGCAACCCTAGTTGCTTCGCCTCTTAGGTATAGGTATCAGAACCTTCTTCCTTTTTCAACAAATAAAGATGTGACTCTAGACATGCTCTGTTTCCTGATGTTGCTATACCATAAGGAATAAAATGCATGAAAGCACTAATATAGCCAATAAAATCTACTCGAAATGAATATAATATCCATTGCACTCAAAACAACAAAATCTCTACCAAATAGATTACAAACAAAACCACCATAGAAAAGAAGTATCAGAAAATATAGCTTTCCTTAATAGATGCATAGTAAACAGACCGGATCATTTCTCTAACCTTAGGTTATAGAAAACCTAATACCCTAATTTGATAACTAATAGAGCAGAGCAACGGCAAAGTCAAACAAAAACAAGTTTGTAAGGTGTAACTCAGGTAAAATCAAAATGGGGAAATATATTGATATCACCCAACATTGTCACTCAAGAAAAAAAAATCACAATTAAATTATAGTTTGTAAAGGTATATGTTTATTAAATACGTATTTTTTATTATTAGAAAGTAATTACAAGGGAGAATCGCACAACAAAGCATACTTTTAAATATTTTTAAGGTTGAATACCAACCTGGCAAGTTGCAAGCTCATCCTTACAGTTCTGTAAACTGCAATAAAATGCACAAATGAGGCCACATAAATAATAATCCAAAAAATTCAGCTTGTTTTGTTCCAAGTGCCTTGTTTAAAAAGAAAATGAAGTATTCACTAAAGTTACAAAATTATACCTCTCACGAAGTGATAAGATCATCCCTGTTGCTGCACCTGGTCCACTTTCTTCGATGCTTAACTTACCCTTGATTGTAAAAGATTAGAGTTAGAAATACAATAACAAATTTCAACTTAAATACTAGAATGCGACAAAAGTAATATTTTCAAAAGCACAAGCTGTCCATGCTAACAGGACAACTCGAATGCACTGCATGCCTGAACAGTCCATCATTCAGAATCAAAATCTATGAAATAAACACAAAGGCAAGCAGCATAAAAATACAACTATTGCAGTAGCAACGCATACACTAGCGATAACACATTCATTAGTTCCAAGTAGAACGTACCTAATCTTGATTGAAATGGACCAATGGCATCGACACAAAGAAAATCACAAACAAAACTAAAGCTTTAGCACAAGAATCAGCATGCTCGGCAATTTTATAGCATTACGAGAAATTTTCAAACAGAACAATGTAATAGAACTAGTTAAGAAAGACGTCACAAAAAGAAGCAATTAACCAATTTTAAACACACTACAAGCACATTCTTGGTATGGCAGTAAGAAAGCTTCGATAAAGATATGCATTAGAGATTTTTTCAACCGCACAAGTTATTTACCAAACTGGAAAGTAAGGGCACAAAATTACCTTTTTCGTTCCAAAAACATCATCTTCTTCTTCGTCAAGATCTCCAAACGCTCTCTTTTCGCCTGTAAAAGTTCGTAAAAAGAATAACAAAAAATATAGCAATCACATAACAACAAACAAATATAGCGAAATTCGACCAAAATGCTATGAAATACCTGAGCTAATTCTTCCACTGTGACTACCCGCATAGTCTCCACCAAAGTCGTCGTCCTAAATACAGTAAGAATGTGGGAAAAAGAAACGAAAATCCTAGAAACTGAGGAAACAGCATATGGGTGGGAGATTCGAGAAGGAAATCGCAAGATAGAACAGAACGAATGATGAATCGAACACTTACATCGTCAAGATGTGAGCGCGAAGCCATCGGAATATCAAACCCTAGCGTTCGCTTGCTTCCTAATTCACCAGTCAAATCTGCAATGTCTGAAGCTCGGCCAGGACACCTCCAAGGCTCCGATCATGTTACTTGTTAGTTTTAACTAGGAAGGATAGATCGGCACATAAAAGATAGATCGGTCACGAAAGAAGCTGCAGTCTGGGACTCCGCCAACAGTCGGAGAAATTTTTCCGAACGTCTCATCCCGTACACAAGAAAAAACTGATTGGCCTCTGAACACCGTCCATGTTGCCACAGAGTAATTTCTTTTCCTGCGGTCCACAAGTGCATCCGGTTTTATTTATTATTATTAATATTATTATTATTATTATATCAATACTTACATATTTGAATTAAAATTTTCTAAAATTAAATTCAAGACAAATTTAGCTGAGACAAACCCGATGAAACAAAAAATTTGTCTAATCCTAGCCTAAATGAATTCAAATCAAGAGCAAGAAGCATAATTGAATACTTTTGGATAATTAGATGACCAAATGATTACTAAATTTGGAATGCTTATAATTAAATTGAGTGGCTCAACGAGACGAATTCAAGGGGTCCAAAATCACTTAATTATGATATCATTAAGGTATTTAAATGCTCATCAAATACTTTACGATCAAAAAATAAATATGAGTTGTTTGATGAAGTACTCTAGATTATCTCCATATTTACGAGGAATGTCATTCCCAAAAATCAATAACTATGGTCATACTTCCTATATGAAGGGGATCTTGGGTCATTGATAGACCTGTCAATATTGGACCCGACCCGAAAACCCGATTCGAACCCGACCCGAAAATTTTGGGTTTGGGTCGGGTCAGGTTCGGATCCTGAAAATAGACCCGTTTGAAAAATCGGGTTGAGTTCGGGTTGACCCGAAAACCCGGGAATAACCCGAAATGACCCGCTTCCCGGCTGCCCCTACTCGGAATGACCCGCTTCTCGGCTGCCCCGCTGCCCGGACGTGTCACATTGGGTCCCGACGCCAACTGGCCAAGCCAGTTCCGCACCGTCCCGAGGCCAGGCCAGACTGGCCAGTGGCCAATTCCGCGTGCGTTGCCGAATGCCGGCTTGATGCGTTGCGTCCCGAGGCGGCCAGGCCAGGCATCCCAGGCCAGTTTCGCACTTCCGCGCGCGTTGTCGCGTTGCGTCTCGAGGCGGCGAGGCCAGGCGGCGGGCGGCCCGGGCCATTTCCGCGTCGCCGGCGTCCGCATTTCCGCATCCGCGGGTCGGGTCGGGTTCGGGTTGAGAAAATCGACCTGTTTGCAAAACCGGGTCGGGTC